TGGCTACACATGGTAGCCCATGACAACCCACTGCCACAGGGGCTGCAGCCTACACCGTCGCAGGCGACTCATGGCAGCCCAGCTCCAGGTTGAGCTGTTGTTCAGCATCTTAGCTGTAGAGGGCAGTGTCACTGGCCCTCATATGTGGGATGCGAACCCAGGCCCTCTGGCATCCCAAGCCAGTTCTTAACCATCGCACCACTCTGCCGGCCCCTGTAGTTTATTTCTTGAAAACATTTAATATGTAATTAGATAAGAAATGTTATTTGAAATCTTTATTTGCTACTGAAGTTGTGCGTCCTAAGTTTCACTACATAATAGAAGCAAGTATGCCTCTTAGTTGGTCACCTCAGTTGATAGATTCTTATTGATTGCTTGCTATGTTCTAGACTTTATTGAGAAATACAGGAAACAATGTCTTTAGGGAATGTAGGTTTAAAAATAAAATATGCCATATTATTTAAAAAATTGATTGGTAATGTAAGCAGTATGTGGTAAATATTAAGTGAGAAGTACAGAGGGCTATAGTAATAGTAAGTGACATTTGTAGGACACTTATTCTGTGCCAGACACTCATGTGGTCCTGTGAGAATCCCAGAAGAGAGAAGGTCTAGAATCCTTGTTCAGAAATGGTTCTGAGAGAATATTGGACCCAAGCTAAAATTTGAAGAATGGGTAGAGGGACAGAGGGAGGCCCTTCAGGCAAGGGGAATTTCACCAAATGTGGAGTGACAGGAGTGAACACAGCACTTTAGGAGATTGGAAGTAAAAGAGTCCAGCTATAAGCTGTAATGAGATCTATAGTGAGAGATAAGGCTAGAAAGGTAGGTTGAGGTCAAATTGCAGTCTGTTCCAATTATCTAACAAGTTGAGACTATTCTGGTGGCAGTAGGAAGCCAGAGATCTCAGTAAGGGTAATTTCATGAAGAAAGAAGCTTTTTAGGAAGATTTATCTAGCGGCAGTGTGTGAGACAGACTAGAGAGGAAACTGGGGGGGGGGCTGAGAAACCAGTTAAGAGACAGCTGTTGTAACAATCCAGGCAGGAGATAACTAGCCTGGAAAAAGAAGGGACAGATGCCAGTTTATAAAGGGGACAACCAGCTGGGCTTATTGACTGGCTACAGAAAACGAAGGAAAAGAAGAGACAGGGATTGCTGTTGCCAGAGTTTTAATAAATGAATTAAAGGATGGATATAGTTCCGTTTTTATTTGACCTTATTTTCAAACCTAATTTAATTTTTCTTTGTGGATCCACACGATATGTCTGAAGATATCATTCAGCCCACATTCCATTGAGATCATGACACGTTTCCGCTGCTCTTGAGTGACAATCTACATAAATAAAGTACTGTTGACTCTACCATTCTCTTCAGAAAATAATATTATGTTCTTGATTGCAACCAATTGTGTTAAAATTCAGTAGAGAACCTATTGATTTAAAGCCAGGGCAGGGGAAATCCCTGTCATAGTTGTAGAATGATTTCAGTGGGTTTTTCTCGTAACCCTGATAACTTTGTATGAAGTGAGTCTCTTGATGCTCTGCTTTGTCTTCCAGCCCAGTAATCCTAAGAATTGTGCTTTCTGTCTTAGGCAGTTGTTGCATATTGTTCCTCAACTTCTTGTTGATACTTTTTTGTCTTCCTGCAACACCATGAATAGGTTCTTGTATAAAAGTGGGGCTGTAAAGCCAGTGGTAAATTAGTCCTTTATTCTTGCCTTTTTACTCTTTCCTTTCTTTGCTGCTTCTTCAGAAGCTAATTTTTGACTCATGAGATGGTTACTGCAGAGTTTAATTATTACTGCTCCTCACAAAAGAATCCTATCCATGCCTTAAAGTGACCCTTTAAACTGTCTCATCTTTGCCATCACAAGGTTCACCACTAAAGTGCTCTTTTCACTGTTGTATCTGATTCCCCTTGACATTATATCCTTACCAGTCCCTTGGGGAAATTTCCCATTTTCCTGTATAACTTTCATAGTGCAGTATCACTACCATTGTGGGTTTAATAAGTGAATCCTGAATTGAAGTTCCTTATAAAGAAGTCATGCTTACCAAAAAAGAACTTCATTGCAGAAATTTTGAGGCCAGGAACTTGTGATTAGAGGATGGGAGGACATACAGGAAAAACGATCATTCTCGTTGGTGTGGATTGCTGCTTATTGAGTTCTTTTCCAGTCGCATAGCTTTACCCGCCACCCCCATGTGGATGGGAGGGCTGGAGGGCCTCAGTTCACCGCTGGTGAAGGCAGTTGCTATTACATGGAAGGCGGGGGCAGGGAGTGGAGTAGAAATTTGAAGAAGTGGTAGAGTAAGGGTACTTTCGTTTTCAACTCTAAAGAATGGTGGGCTAAGGGAAAAATGAATCAGTACATTCCATAACAACTTTAGATGAATTGTTTGATGTAGAGAATAAAAAACTAAACTGTAGTGAATTGGCTGTTATGGAAAGACTGAAAGGATCTAATTGTAAGGATGTTACTTTGTTCGATATCATAGATATATTAGCGATTGAGCAAATGATTTGTGTGTTCAATGACTCGTGGGGAAAGTTCCTGATGGCAGGAACACTTCTTTTGAAATGCTTAAGGGGGTGACTGGCAGAGCAAGGTCCTGGGAAGACCAAAAGAACCCCTATCATCTCCTCCAAAATTTGCCTTGAAGTCAGCAAGGAGGAATGGTGTGTAAACACTGTGAGGCTCAGCAGGAAGAGGACAGAGGACCTTATAGTGTTAGGTAAGCAAACTCAAAATGACTGTTGGAAAGGGAGATTGATAGCATACATTTGAAAAGGGTTACTGTAGTTGTCCAGTAAAACATTTATGATCTGTAAGGGAACTGTAATCTTTGTCCAGCTAGCAGAGTAAAGCATTAAGAATCTTTTTGTTTGCTGAGATGTTTAACTTATAGAATAGGTGACATGAAGTTCTGTTGATTTCCTCGTCAATAACAAGTTTTCAATAGTCTTTCTCTATTTTCTGAAGTGGATTGTATAAGACAAGGATTCTGCGATGGTTTGATAAACCTTGCCTGTAAAACTACCAAGCCTTGTTTTAATTTTTATTGATTTATTTGGCTTTCTATTTCTTTAGCTAATTTTGTGTAATTTGTTCATGGTGCTCTCTTATGATTTTATTAAAAAATTACTAATCCTATTTGTGCCTAATTTCTTTCATTCTGATTGGAATTTAGTTAGACACTTGTCTGTTTCATTAGTTTTTTTTCAAAGAACCAGCTTTTGGTTTTCTTGATCATTTTTATCCTTTAATTATATTTTATTTCTTAACCTATTCTTTTCTTCTTTCTTAAATTTATTTGGTGTTCTTCTTATACCAAATTATATTGAATCTTTTAGTTTATTTATTTTCCATCTTTTATATCTTATAATCAAAGATCATAAATTTCCTTCTAAATACTGCTTCAGCCATAGCCTACAGATGGTGATATATAGTACTTTGCTTAATTTCTAAATATTTTATACTTTCTAATATGAATTTCTTTTTTTCCCCACTGTAGTTTTTCTTTTAAGAGTACATTTTAAGTTTTCAGGAACTTATTTTGAAAACTGTCTATTTACTATTATTTCTTTTTTTCTTTTTTTTTTTTTTTTAAGATGAGCCATCCTGCCACCTGTTGGCAGCTCAGCGGCTGCTCAGCTCGGGCCGGGAATTGAACCGCTGTTGCTCAGAGCTCAAACTCTTGAGCGAGCTCTTATACTATTATTTCTTATTTAAGAAATTCCACTCTGTATATTTTTAGTTTTTTTAAAAGCACAGATAACTCATAATCATTTTTGTTCTCAATAATTATTTGAATTTATTGACATATCTCATCAATTTCTATTCTCACCTTTGATGATTTCTTGTATCCTTTCCCTTCTCTTTGAATTCCCTTTTATTTTTGCAAGAAGGTGTCCTATAGTAGTTTTTTCTGTAAGTGGTAAACTCTCTTAGTCTTCGCACATCTGAAAATGTTTGATTTTTGCATTTACTCTTGAGTGGTAAGTTTAGCTGGTTGCAAAATTTTAGGCTGACAATTATTTTCACTCAGCACTTTAAAGGTGGTATTCTGTAGTCTTCTACCATCTTTTGTTTCTAATGAAATATCTGCTATTCTCTAATTATCATTATTTTGTAGGTTGTAGGATAGTTTTTTGTTTTGTTTTTTTAAGATTTTATTGGGGAATTGGGGGAGGGGAACAGCACTGGAGAATCAGGGGAAGGGGAACAGACAAGTTGCTGTCCTTTTTGTTCTTCAATCTAGTTGAGGAGGATGTTGCTTCACTGGCCCATTGTGCTCTTCCTGGGTGAGGCAGATCGGTCTCCGGCCTCTGGACGGCTGCTCACAGCAGCTGTTGGCAGCTCACACCAGCTGCCGGCTGCTCACGTTGGCTGCTAGCCACTCACGGTAGCTTATGGCAGCCCACTGCAGCAGGGGCTGCAGCCTAGGCTGATGCCAGCGACTCACAGCAGCCCAGCTCCAGGTCAAGCTGTTGTTCACCATCTTAGCTGTAGAAGGCAGTGTCACTGGCCCTCATGTGGGATCCAAACAGGGGTCCTACTGCTCAGAGCTGGCATCCCAAGCCAGCTCTTAACCAACGTGTCACTCGGCTGGCCCTGTAGGATTGTTTTTATGTTCTGCAATTTCACACAGTATGTCTACGTGTTGGTTTATCTTTATTTATAGTGCTCAGTGTGCAAAATACACTTTAAAAAAAAAAAGATTTTATTGGGGTACTGGGGGAGGGAACAGCATTGGGGAATCGGGGAAGGGGAACAGACAAGTTGCTGACCTTTTGTTCTTCAGTCTAGTTGTGGAGGACATCATTTCACTGGCCCATGTTGGAATTATCATTGTGCTCTTCCCGGGTGAGGCAGTCAGTTGCCAGCCATTGGATGGCCGCTCACAGTGGCTCCATGACAGCTCACGTTGGCTGCTGGCCTCTCACTCTGGCTACCGGCCACTCACGTTAGCTTATGGCATCCCACTGTAGCCTCACTGCAGCCCCACTGCAACCTACGCCATCAACTCATGGCAGCCCAGCTCTAGGCCAAGCAGCTGTTCACCATCTTAGCTGTAGAGGGCACAGCATCACTGGCCCATGTTGGATCCAAACCAGCTGCCCTACTGCCCAGAGCTCGCGCTGTCAAGCCAACTCTTAACCAACGAGCCACTCAGCCGACCCCTGTTGGTCTTTATTCACATCTCCTTGTTCTTGTTTCATTTCTACCTATTTTTGTTTTGTAATTTCCTGCTCCTTTTAAATTTTTTAAAAATTTGTAGGTCGATTTGATGTGGTTTGGGGTTATTTGGGCCTCTAATTCTGTTTATTAACATGAATGATTAAGGACTGACAGAATGTCCACATCAGCATTTTATACATTTCACTATGGTTTATTTATTCATTACTGTTCTCTTTCAAATTTGACCTTCAATAGAGTAAAAGCTTTTAGAACTTTACAAGAAGCCCTCAAGTGCAACTATGAACACTGGCAGATCTGGGAAAACTACATTCTTACTAGCACTGACGTTGGGGAATTTTCTGAAGCCATTAAAGCTTATCACCGTCTCTTGGACTTACGAGACAAATACAAAGATGTTCAGGTAGGGTATTCATATTTTGTTATTTCAGTTTGTAATTGGTATTAATACTTGATTGTATGATATAAATTGTTTCCTTGACTATACATAGGAAAATTTTGTTAAGCACATGTTAATATATAAAAAGAGTGTTTTTCCTGTAGTTGATTATTTTTAGTTACATAGTAATTCTGGCATTCTAATGTCAAATATGTTTGTGTAATCATAAACTGAGTATTACAGTGACTCAGTTATGAAAATATGGTATGTGGTTTACATATATACAGTCAGCTTGCAGAAACTAAATAGAATGATGTTTATAGCTGGAGTGAATCCCATACATGTTTGTTTATTCATCATTCATTGAACAAGCATTTACTGCACACTTTTAGACTGTTTGAACAACATAGAATTGAGGACTAACATTTTCTTTCTAATATTTAATGAGATGGTCCTCTTCTTGGTTGAGTCTAACACAGTATCAAAAATACTGTATCCTTTCAGAAAACATGGGAGACTTTAAGGCACTGTTTTGTCATTCAATAGAATTAAATACACAAGACGTAGTGGGTTTAACTGTGGTTGAAGATAGTGTACAAAGACAGGATGTACGGGAGTTTATAGGTTACAAAGTCAGGGGGCATGAAAATGTAACACTTTATTTGCAATTATCAACATATACTGTTTAAAATGGTGAATTTGGAATTATGAAAAAATAGAAATAATATCTAATATATGATAATACCTCCCTAGTCTTGTGATTTATTATCTGTTCTCCAGCTATTCCAAAATTTACCTTATCTGGGCCCTGTGTTATAGTCCCAGCCCTATGACCTGTATGGTCTTGCAAATCCAGCTATATAATTGGCCAGGTTACTTTAAGGCTCAGGTTCTGGGCAATTCACTTGAAAGATCTGTGTCTTCAAGTAACACCATATACCCATTAATACTTGTAGGAGCTATGTTGACCCCTTCAGTTACTTTTTTTTTCTTTATTTTTTTGTCCTTTCTAAATATTATACATTGGTCATCCATTATAGAAAGAAAGGACTTGAATTATATAATATGAAGATCAATTAAAACGTGAATGGAGGCATAGCAGATCTTACATTCTAGACAGCATAGGAGCCCTAGCAAATCTGTTTGCACAGTCCCCTGGAAGTCTAGCACTTGTCATGTTCCCAGAGCTGAAATTCTCCATTGAGGTAGTTTTTTCTCTGCTACGCTTAGCGCCTTGGCTTAGGGCACCGATGAGGCTCTGAACAGATCTCAATATGTTGCTGAACCACTGAGGATGGGGCAGAATCCAAAGTGCTTATCTCTCATTTACTTCAACTGTGATTTTAAAAAAGACCCCTTTTTACCATGAAAGCATTCTGGAAGCTTGCTCCTAAAATCTCAGGGAGAATGGAAATAATTTACATTGGTAATATATTTCATTTTACACTTGAAAGAACCCAGTGACTGGGTCTAGGCCCCTCTCCTTCTATAAGAGATGGACTTTTGTGGATTATAGTACATAATTATCAAAGGGAGGGGACTTTTCTATCTTATCTCTCACGTATTCTCCTCTACTTCCGAAGGCATAGAGCAGGCCAAAGTGGGACATGGTAAAGTAATAACAGCTACCATTTAGTGAGGGCTTGCTGTGTGCCAGACACTATTCTAAGCGCTTGACATGTATTGATTCTCACCACAGCTACATGAGATAGATTTGTACTATCATAAGCTATGTCTCACTCCAGCATGTGTGTATGTATGTATATTCCGCCCTTGTTTTAAGGAAGTTAATGCTATGAAACATGATAACTGTTGAAAGATTATTTTTGAAAAGCTGATACTTCTACACCATAGTTATAAAGTCATCAAGGTATTGGTAATTTTAGTTAACATGGATAGTATATTAAGTATGCCAAATTGTCTTGCTAGCTCATATCTGAGAGTTATGTATTCCAGAAGAAAGGCAAGACAAAATGAAACAGTTGCTTTACTGAAGATGATGATTTTTAATGAAATAGATTCAGTTTTGATCATTCCTGTCTCCTGTGATTACAATAGCTGGAAACGGATTGAGCATTTTACTTAAGGTTTTCCTTTGTTCTTACCACCCTCTACCATCCCCAGCTTAGGTGTCTCATTCTCTCTCAGGAATAAATAAATTCTTGCAAATGTTTAGAATAATACTGCTGTATATGAGTATCTGTAAATGTATGGGGAGAGAGGTGACATTTAGAATAATATCTTGGTAGTCACAGTGGTAGGTACCAAGGAGATAACCCCAGCAAAAATAAGCTGAGTGTAATTAGTTGATTCTAAAGATAAAACTTTCAGTTGTTGATTTGGCATGTTGTATATCAAATCAAATCCATTGAAATTATAAGAACACATGCCTAGAAATCTTTTAGGAGCCTTGTCTAAGAAAGAATAAAGGAACTCAAATAATGATTTTTATTCTGAGGAGTTCTGGGCAATTCTCAGTCAATATAATTCATTTTCAAGTAACAACATTTTTCTTAAGTTTTTAATGATAAACTAAAAAGGAAGCAAAGCTTAATGAATGTAAAGAATGAGCTTATAGCATAAAATTACATTTTTTTCTATTCAGCCTCAGTTCATAGAGATGCATTTTGAACATTTTTCATGAAAGGGAAAAAAAAGTCCTAAATCATTCTGAACTTACGTGAAAATTCAATTGTTTCCTAGAGAAAATTATTATGAATTATTTTCATTTCATGTCCAGCTAATATTTATTTAGTCTCTTTTTTCCTCTAATTCTTTCTTTGTTCCTCAAATTCAGACTATGAAATAAACCTTCTTTTGTACAACAGTTTTCATTTGAGCATGAATGAATACTTCGATGAGTTTGACATTAGTTTCTATAAAAGTTTAGTATTTTGTTTTATAATTTTTTTCATTTTTTTAAAGTTTAGTATTTTTAGAAACAATAAAGGGTGGCATTTGGGATCTGGAGACTTCTTCCTGCAGCCACTGGAAGGGGCACCAAAAACTGTTCCTGTAATGAGAAATAGTGCTCATAAGACAAAGCACTCTGAGAAGCATGATGTGCTATGAAGATGTCTGATATTATGGCTGTTAGCTTAATTTTTATATTTAGTTTTGGGGAAATATTACTGGGAACATAATGACTGGATAACCAGTGACTTGCTCAGGTCAAATTACCACCTTTATA